TCAAAGCAATCACATTGGTCCACATGCTTTTATACCATACATCAATCTACATACAAGTCCATTTACCACGATACGAAATCGCATAAACACCCACTCAAATGTACAGTCAATCAGAATTTCACAAAACCATGAATTCAACAAACATTTACGATAAATCATACTCTTCAGCTACACATGACCATTAAATAAATGCACCAAATGAAAATTCAAATGAATTACTCCCACTACCGAGCTTGTTAGTCATGATGAATCAAAACTGGCCAGCCCGAAGGCTTTAGTCATGTCAGGTTTTGTTCGAGGCTCCACATACACCTCATTTTCTGCATTTTGCTAGTCACTAGAATGATAATTCCAAACATATCCATATACACCACAATCACAGCCACAATTCGCCCAAAATATTCAAACAATGAACATTCCTCCAAAAAAGAATGCTAAGATACTCAATGTATCAGAAAATCGTGTCGGTAAAACTTGACCGCAAACAAGAGTTGGGATTAACTTCATACCTGAATAACCTGAATACCACTCCCCATTATCCTAACTCTACAAAAGAGAATGATTTCTGCCTTTGAAATCGCCACCGGTGATCGACATCATCTAGGCTCGTCCCTCATTATCACCCTCATTTGATGGATTAATGCTCGTTCATTTTGTCCTCGACACTCAATAGCTCGTCCGCCATAGCTTGTCAAGACTTGGGTTATTTTTTCGTTTCCTCAACATAAATTCAAAGAGATAACATTATCTGTATTATATTCAAGTCATCTATTTTGGAATTCTCCACGCCAAAAAAACAAGATATCAAATACAAACATCACCATCTCCTCGATTTAAAACATGCTCGAGCAATGACATGCTTAAAAATTATGAATAATCCATTTCAACAAAATTCCACATCTTCAAGCGCGCCCAGAAATCGTTCGCCGCGGCCGCGGCCAACAAAAAAGGTCCCAGCTTCCCATACTTCTGCTTATCGAAAGTCGCGGCCTCGGGACGATTCGCGGCCGCGGAGCCGATACTCACCGCGGCCCGCGGGCCTTTTCGCGGCTGCAGAGGTCGCGAAAGTCAGATTTTTAAGAGCAAGTCAGGGGCGTCACTCGAGACATCTCTCGACTGGGGTGAAAGCCGTAGGTCCCGGAAAAAACACGAAATCTCCTTCTCTTCACTTCTTTCTTCTTCTTCTTCATTTTTTTTCTTCTCTTAATATTTATTTTTCCATTTTTCATCTAGACTTTGTTCTTGCTTTTGGGATTAAGCTTGTATTTCGAATTAAACGTTCGAACTTGGATTGATTGTAAGTATTTCTTTCTCTTATTTACCTCATAAATAATGGTTGATTTGAGAAGAACGATTATGTGTGTTGAATTCGTTATTCGTAGCTAATTCTTATTGCTAGAGATAGGGGATGATTATTCTGGTTTAATTCGTATCTCTCATGCTTGAATTGTTCGTTCTTGTGTGGGTTGATTTGACTAGGAATTGATGAAATCTTGTTTCATTGATTGATATAATCGAAGAGTGACACTTCGATCTTGTAATTGGAATGATTAAATGTTGATTAGTCGAGTTAGGATTTTGCTGATTCCTAATGATTAGTTGATTAAACACCTTCTAATTGAATTAGCGATTTTCAGAACCGAAAGGGAAGAAGTCGTAGACCTAGGCTCACATGAGGTAGATGATTTCGTAATTGAATAGTCTATAGATATTTTATTGAAATATGTGCGTGTCGATGACTCGTCCCTTGTTACGAAAAGTTAATGGGATTGGGATAGTTGGCATGTGTTGTATGCTCGAGCTTGTACGTCTATGTTCAATCCCTTGTTACGAAGAGTTATTGGGAGCAAACAGCTAGATGCCTAAATGAGAGTGTCAATCTAGAACCGAACAATGAATTGCCCGACTTTGCTAGAACTTGAATTAATTATTCCTTCCCTAGCTTCTCCATCTTTGTTTCGTTCATATTCTTAGGTAGATTTATATTTTTGTTTTGTTCTTTATTTCTTAGTTGATAATTCATCCAATCTTTATCTGATTAGAGTGTTTAGAATTTATTTTTCCTTTTTTTTTGTGTTATCGATACCAAAGCTAATTCCGAACCACCTTCCTCGTGAGATCGATCGGGGAATGAATCTTTCGATTCGCTACTCGATAAAAATAACAAATTTTACACAACGAATTTGGTGATTAATATTGCAATAAGCTGTTGTACTCTATATTGGTGAAAGAGTATTTTTTCTCCCTTTTTCTTTCTCTTGTGATAAACTTTTGGGAGGCTTCTTTAGTTATAAGATTAAATTTCTCGAAAGTTGATAACAAAAAGATTTTTCTCATCGTCCTCACGCGGAAAAAACCCTCGCAGAAGCTCCCGATTTGCGTTGCTCCGTTGGCCCTCCTCGTCAACGGCGAGGCTCTAGCCAGTGGTCACCACTGACTGCCCGTTCTGTCTCTGACGTCACTCTTCCCGCTGTTGCTGCAATCGTTTGCTATGGATTCGCTGCCCTCAGTTGCCAGCGCATTTTCGATTGGGGTGGTGGGACCTCGATCTGAGTCCGTTGGCTTTTCTTCGCCGGCGGGTATTTGATTTGAGAGGTATTGCCACTTAATCTCTTTCTTGTCTGTGATTAGGGTCCATTTGTCACCTCTGTTGTTGGGGGGGCTTCCGGTGGTGGTGCGGGGGTCCAGCAGTCGGCTATTTGTGGTGAGGCGGGGAGGTGTGCGGGTCTGTGGACATGGCGGGACCCCAGTGGCTGCGGAACCTTGTGTCGTGATAGCTGGGGTTGCAGGATTGGGCCACTCTCACCTCCGATCCTCTGGTGTTGGGAAGTCGGGTGTCCGGAGTACCCGAGCTCATCTAGTGGTATTAGACGAGGTTGGGTTGTGCTGGTGTGTGGAGCAGGTCTTGTTCTCTCGGTTGACGATGGGTTGATTTGAGACAGGTCCGGGGTCCGGGTTCAGCTTCTGTATAGGCGGTTTCGCAGTTTTGGTTGCTATTCCTCGGGCTTGGGATCTTCTCGGACTGATTGTTTCTCTACTGGTTTGGGCTCGTTTGTTGGCTGAGGAAGGCCATAATCTTTTTAGTTTCTATTTTGTTATTTAGTTTTTGTTTTGTTCGAGTTTGTGTTAGTGTTGTTCTTGAGTCTTATTTTTTCAGTTTGGGCCATTTGGCCTCTGTGCGCCTGAGTGTCAAACTTATTCTCCTGTTGGGAGCCAACACTCAGGTATTCTCCTGTTGGGAGCCTTGTTAGTTTTTTAGTTTGTGTGGTGTTGTTGGTTGGTGTTGTTGCGAGCTTTGTTATTCTAGCGTTGCTAGGTCAGGCTTTAGGCGATCTTTAGATCTGCCTCTTAATTTTTACAGTCTTCGGGTGTACTATTCAGCCTTTGGCTGCTTCTCTTCGCACGTTGTGCGGTTTTTATTAATATAGTACTTCTATTGTTTCGGAAAAAAAAAAGAAGAACTTATGAAAAATTTATATCAATATTTCCTGAAGTTGTAGCATTTTTTAGGCCCGAGTCGAGTATCATTTTTTATAGTGTGGCAAAACTTTTAGTCATTCATCCTTTTTTTAGAAATGTCCTTTGAACATTTTCATTTTTAGGAAAAGCAGGTTATTGGAGTCGCAAATGACTATATTCATTACTTACATGAAATGTATCATTTGCTTTGCAAGTTCCCATTTCTTGTAGACCCCAATACTGGAACTTCAATGTATGAAAGCAGTAGGTTTTTGTTCGCAAGTTTTTTCGTACCTATCGTGCTCTTTTGCTCTTGGATTTTGTCACAATTTTTTGTTTTTTTTTTTTTTTTTTNNNNTATTTAATCTATAATCTGCTATTCCTATTGAATGCATATGTCGCATGTCAGTTGCCAAGTCTTGTTTTATTTTGTAGGTATAATTTATCTGATTGGTTTTTCTCTTATAGGTGACATTGTTAAATATTTATTTCAGCGATACGGTGGAAAAAATATTCCTTCATTTGGCATATTGGAGAGGTTATTTCTTTGTGTTAATACCATTAAATAACCAAAAAAGTTCACAAAATACAAATTTTAGCCACCTTTTGTTAAAAATACATTTTTTAACCATTTTAGCGTATGATTTTGCTACATTACCCTTAACTCAAAATTCTTTTTACACAATTTGTTTGACCGAAAATATTTAAAAAACTCATTCAAAAAATTATTCAAAATTTTTGTTCAGCACCCTCGCTCCCGCTCCTCTGCACTTCATCTTCACCAAAAATTCTTCTCTTGCATCTTCACAAGAAAATCGAACACCTCACGAGCAAAATTGAACGGAGTCATTGCCGTCACGCGACCTCGCCGTCACGCCGTCTCTTCTGACCTCACGCGACCTCGTCGTCACGCCCTCTCTTCTGACCGAACGCGATCTCCCCGTCACGCCGTATTCACGACCTCGCCGGACTCTTGAGGACCTCGCCAGAATTTGGTTTGAAATTGTTTATTTTTTTGTTGTTTGAATTAGGGTTTTTTTTTTACCTTTTATAGAAGTCCCTTCATATAGTGATTTGCTAGCTGTTTGAATGGTGTTTGTTTTTGGACTTGTGATTTGCTATATTGAATAAGTCCTTTCCTTTTTTTTTTTTTTGGTGGTTTTTTTTTACCTGCTGAAATTGATATATGGGTTTTGGAATAATGGATGGTAATATGGAATTTGAACTGTGTATTTACCAATTCAAATGAATCCATAGATAATGTTAGTGGCAGGAAGTAGAAAGCATGCATCTTCTCTGTGTTTCTGTAGTCAAATGCAATAACATTATAAGGATTTAAGGTGTTTTGTTGTTGTTCAAAGTGATTTGAAAACCTTCGTCTGCAATGTGCATTCTTATTTACACGGCATAACCCTGTTGTTATTTTTCTGCTCTGGAAACGTTTGTTTTACTGGGGTGTTTTTCTTTTCTTCTTTGATATCATCATTTGTTGAATAGTATTTTCTTACTCCCAATTTGCTGAGTTTCTTGAAAATCCAAACATGCCCAGTAATAGCTTCAAGGATTGGGTCAAAACCCTCTCTGTATTTTTGCATTTTGTGTTGAGCTTTGTTTTGGTGCCCTTAAAAGAAGGTACTTTGAGCCTTTTCTTGCATATAAAAGAATTATTATTGTGTTTAGCTGTCTTGTACTGATTTTTCTTTTATGTTTTTTTGTTTGATTCTCTTGCAGGTTTTATTTTTGGTCTTATTGCTGCTTTTGTTTCTGATTTTAGGGAATTTATCAGTGATATTGGGGCTCTTTCCTGCACATGTTGCATGGACGGTCTATACCCTTCTCAAGTAATTTCTAGTTTTATTCAAGAATTGAGCTATAGTGATTCACTAACAACAGGTCAGTTTAATTTTTACAATTATTTGATCATTTTCTATTCTTTAAACATGGGTTTGATCTGATGTGCGTTGAACGTTTTTTTTTTTTTT